TTGCTATGCAAAAAAAAAGAGCTGAAGGGACAGCAAAAGAATGAATATACATAGCTGCAAGAGACTGATGACTAAAAACACTGCAACACAAAAAGTCCTGGCCTCTTTTCCAGTGGGCTATTAAATTAGTAGTCTGCCAGCAGGGTCAGTAGGAGTGAAAAGCTTCGTGGCTTTCTCTTCTGTTCCAACAATTCTTCTCAAGATGTTTGAAATGGAGTGGTCTAAGTTTCACGTCCTTGTTCAGCAATCCTGTGGTCTCTGAGTATTGCACTTAGGGAAGGTTGTGTCAGAATTTGTACAGCTAAGGAAGAATTGTTAGTAGGACATCAACCCCGGCATATGGTCCTGGATGCAGTTCTTATCCTTTAAATGTTGCAATAACAGCATTGTTGAGAATCTCTGCACTCTTCATAACAACACTAAGAGATTTTCTTCTTTTATGCGTCTCTCTTCATTTCTTTAGCTTGGCTGTATATTTTTATGTAGTTGAAAAGAAGACTGCATTATAGTCTTCTGACATTATAGGCCATTTGGATAATGATTCTTCCTGCTAATTAGTAGAGCATATGTTTCCCACCCACAAATTACAGAATTAAATTGTCTTCCAAGTATGAACATTCTGTTTGCCTACTATCCCTGAAGGAGAACCATGTTACTGAAAATTGATCTCATTGCCCACCTGCCTACCTCTGCACCTCTGTCATGGCAACTGATTCAATGAAAAATTTGTTCAGTTCTGGGAAATTAGGATTCAGTTTGTTGTACTGTATTTTGCCTTTTCTGTTGATTTAATAGATAAAGGATGCAATTAAAATAAACATATATTTCCCCCCATTTTTATCCATTTAGTCATTTTAAATTCTTGAAAAAGCTGTGGTTAACAACTGTGTGCTGAAGTTGCCCAAAAGTATAATTTATATTTCCAAGAAAAGTAGATTTTCCATGATGAAAAAAAACTTGCTTTTTTTCCTTTATATTCTCAATAATAATAGGGAATACCAAGAATTTAAATTTTCTCTTAATGTTGCTTGGATCTTAGACAACATGCAGTGCTCTCAGTTAAAATGTAAGAGAATATTCAAATCAAGAGTTGTTAAATGTTCTATATAATTATTGAATAATGCAAATTCCCTTTGTGCTTTTGATGATTTCCTGATGCTAATGGACAGGTAAGAATTTTATCTCTGACACTATAAGAAGAAAAAGGATGCTTTGGGTTTTATTCGGGTGAGTCCCCTGTTTCTTAAAGTTTAGTTTCCATACATTCTTAGCACTTCTATGGAGAAGTATTTTCTCTATAAAAAAAAAACTATAGTGTTACAAATTGCTTCAGTTATGGCTACTGCAGTGGCTGCCCAGATTGTTTCAGAGCAAACCTGACGTGTTTATTTTTATCTTCAATGCTTTAAAGTCAGATATTGTGTGATATTGCTATGATGCTCTTGGGAACCATGACATGGACCCTTAGAGCAGCTAGGCTTGTACTTTTCTTCCACTTAACAACACAGTAGCTCCTTTGAACTATTCTTAGAACAGTTATTTTGGACTTGCAAAGTAATGTCACTGCTTTGTAATTCTATCTATATCTATCGATCTATCTATATTATTTTTTTTACAATTTTAAAAAAGTTTATAGTTAAGTATAATAGTTCGCCATTTTATTTCCTATTCCTAAAAAATGTAATTCATTTTTTCAATACTATGCATATTTATTAATAGTTTCCTCATTTTGATTCCTTTTTAATAGTACCTCCATATCACCACCATAAAGTTAGACTAGTACAATTCACTTTACATGAGGCTACTTTTGAAGGCCACTCTAAAACCGCAGTTGCTGTAGACATCAGTAGCCTACGTATTGGCAAATGAAAACTTTCATAGTGATATAATATATGTACTATAGGTCCTGCATTAGTTTTGGTATGTTTCTGATGCAATTCAAAGCCAGTTTTTATTTATGAAGCCTTATATGGCTTGATTCCAAAATATTTTCAGAATCACCATTATAAGTGAAATTGACCCCATCCAGTGAATTTTATTTGAGGGAAGTTATTAATCATTCTCCATTTGAGGAAGATTAGACAGACCATGATGAATAAACAGTGTATCGCAGTAGTCTATGCTTAACAGAATAGCCCATCCCAGTGTTTGATTAGCATTACTGTGACAATTTTTTGAAAACTGGTTAAAACATTTTAATAATACGATAATGAGCTGTCACCATAGGGCTCAGCAGAATACAATTATAGTTTTATAAACTGTTTATTTTAATGCTAACTTTGGGAAAACAGAAGTATACAAAATAAATAAGTAAATCTAACACAACCTGTCAGAGAACAATTAATGAAAGAATACAGAAAACCTATCTGGTTCACGTTGATTAAAAAGGTCATATTCTCAGTGAAGAAGACAACCATTTATTTATTTATTTACAATCCATAACCAATATATAAATGGTGATATTACAGCACAGTAAATATAAAAGTGATGTAAAATACTAAAATAAAGCTTAAACAGACAAGCTTGAAGTAATTAATAGTGTGGTGGAAACATTAGATAAAATCTGCAAGGCATGGCTATTGTTAAAAAATTACCTACCATGTTGCAGTTGGGACCAGGAGTTCCATCACTGAGCAACACAATCATAAAACAATGTGTCACATGACCATACTGTTTAGCAACAGAAATTCCAATACTAAATGAATCGTGTCATTAAGTGAGAACATCACATGATCATTGTCTTCTCTCAATTTCCCTATACAAATGGTGATCATGTGATTGGATGCTGCAACCAACATAAGTATGAGGACTAGTTACAGCTGCCACTCATTCAGCAGCATCATAAGTTTGATCTCTGAACGATTATTAAGTAAGCAACATATGTAGTGGCCAAAGTTGATTGCCTAGGAGAAAATGGATAATCTGCTTAGAGGAGAATTTAGATTTTTAACAATTGTTATTAGTTTGTCCTCCATTTATTGCATAGAGGGCACTTACTGTAGTTATGAATGTGAAATAAATTCAACTTCTATATCATAACATACACAAGTATGAATTTAATAAGGAATACGATGTATCTACCAGTTGTTGTCCTTATAGATAATTTGATAGTTTGGGTGAAAGTGAAGTGTCTTCTATGTGAAGTGTGGGAAATATTATAAAAATGTCTAGCAATGGAGCAGGAGAGGATGGGTATTGAGCTGTAATGGAAGTGGAAAATTCTGATTATATACGTTTGGGAATCTAGGTTTACATCCTCCATTGAAGATTGGAGGTAACATAGTAACTATGGTAATTACGACTTTATTAGGTAGAGACATAGATATTAGACCTAAAGATCTAATATTGGAAAATAAAAGCTAAGTAAACTAAACTGAGTTTCATTTTCCTTTTTGGGAAATTAAATTAAAATTAAGAAATGATCCAAAGATATTACCAAAAGAATTTGCTCCAACCAACATGTGATATGACAGAACCTCACATGAGTCCAAAAGAAATGCAGCCTAATTCCAACCAGATAAGGTGGAATAAGGAATCTGAGTTATAGTCTTTAAAAACTCCTGTTAATAGTCTTCAGTGTTTTCTTCCTTTCCCAAAAAATCCTTTTTGCATGTAGAGAAGACCCATATCTTGTTTTATTGTTTTATCTTGACTCATCCTTCCCCACCCCCCAGTTAATCCTACCTCAGCTTAATTGTCCTTTTAACCCAGATAATGAACATCAGCTGTGGTTCAGATTAATGAAATGATTATTTATCTTATGAAGATTTATGTTCTGAAGCAATGAGAAATGCTGTCTGCATGCACCCACCCACATATATATTTTGGAAGGCCATCACTTTTGAAAGACCTTTGGCTTCTTTTATAATTATAATAATAATAACAACAACAATAATAACAACAATAATAATAATAATATTGGAACACTGCTATCATGTCCCCCCTCGTCCTTCTCTTCATTAAACTAGACATATCCAATTCCAGCAGCCATTCCTTATATGCTTTAGCCTCCAGTCCCCTAATCATCTTTGTTGCTCTTCTCTGTACTCTTTCTAGAGTCTCAACATCTTTTTTACATCATGGTAACCAAAACTGGATGCTTTATAATAGTAGCAATTTGGGGAAATGTGAGGGAGAAGGGAGGAATGCCAAACATAGTTCCCATCTAAATGCAAAAAGGGTTTTGTAGAGGTTGAGCTGTGCACATTCATGGCAGTCTGTCCATGTAGAAAAAAGCATGAGATTCACTTGTACTCAAAAAGATTTAAAGGAAAGATACAGATGAATGGAATCTCTGATTCAATTTCAGTCTTATAATAATATCTAGTTTAAAGTTCCTAGCAAAAAAAAATCACAGTGGGAAAAATATATAACACTTTTCCAGGTGCCATAGGTAAAAAAAAAACCCTTTTCTTGATTATAATTTTCACCTGATAAAATTGGGATCTAAGAGGTTATTTTAGTGATTGCTTCTTAAGAGTAGGCTAAATAAATAAAGTAAGATACACAAATAGGAAATCAGTTGTTTCTTGTTACTATGATACTTCATTTCAGTAAGATTTAATTTCTTCTTCCCAATGGGGAAGGGAATCACAATGCATGTGAGAAAATAAGCAGGGTAAGCTATAGTTATACATTACTTTCTTCAGTTTTAAGAATTATNAATTATAACAAATCATAACAAAAGACCTGAGCAAAGTTCATAGGTTGGGCAAATTGTAGAGCGTATCTCTTGCCTTAATTCATAAGTTTTTCTGATTTATCATAATCTGCCATCTGGCAAACATAGTTGAAAATTCTTTGGCCTGTGAATATTTATGCTTATTTTAATTTTCATTTATTTAAAATGATTATATTCAAAATGTGAGAAATTGAATAGAATTTTTCTCTTTCCAGTTTTGAATCAAATCCCAAACAAGTGATTTCTTGAAAATGGTGTACAGGATTTATACAGGTTGTCCTTCACAGTAAATCAATGTGTTTTATATTCCTCTTTCCAGATTTTCCACACGTTGCCTGATGCTTATTTCCCTGAGCCGACCCCTGTGCCAATCTCTCCTCCAAATGCTCCACCACGACAATCAAGACGACGTAATAGGAGGCCTCTTGCTGTATATAATCTCTGTCTGGAGCTGGATGACAGTAAGATGTTCATTATATTGTCTATCTTGGTAATAGTGGAATTGCAATATATCTTTAGCAATAGCTTTCATTTCATTATTTTTGTTTCTAAAAATCAGAGAATGAAGGCAAGATTGTGATAGAACGTATTTTTATAAGAGACTGTTTACATAATTTTAGGAAAACGTGCTTTAACTGAATTTTTTAAATAATTGTATTTAATCTGTGACAATAATTGTAAGTTGCAGAATAAATGGAATAAGATAACCAAAGGGAAGCTTTTTAGTGAGTTTGAAGAGATAATAATGCATTTGAATTTTCATTTTACCTAGGCTAAAAAAGACAACAGTAATAGCAGTAATATTGATACTCATTATAGGTAGTCCTCAATTTATGACCACAACTTAGCAACACATTTATGTTGCTAAGTGAGACATTATTTAAGTGAGTATTGCCCCACCTTATGACTTTACTTGCCACAGTTGTTAAGTAAACACTGCAGGTGTTAAGTTAATTACAGAATCGCTAAGTGAATCGGAATTCGCCATTGACTTTGCTTATCAGGAGATGGCAAAGTAGATCATGTGACCATGGGACACTGCAAACCTCATAAATATGAGTCAGTTACAAAGCGTCTGAATTTTGATCACATGACCATTGGGAAGCTGCAGTGGTTATAAGTGAAAAATGGTCATGTCACTTTTTTCACTACCGTTGCAACTTTGAATGGTCACTAAATGAACTGTTGTAAGTCAAGGACTACTGGTGTATAACTGCATATACAGTATGTATGTACTGTAAGTTATCAAATGAGAAAAAATAGAATTGTGCAAATAAGATGTAACAGTTTTCAGGATGCAAATATTACATTAGCAGTTTTTCCCATTAAAATACTTTATTTAACAATGATACAGTATGTATAGATTTTAAAATGATAAACAGGCGGACAAACTGACTGACCCATTTCCCTCATAAGAAATACATCAGCAATACTCTGAACTAATTATGGTTGGTTGCACTGTCAGCCAGATGTTCAGATTGGATTTGTCATTTTTGTCCTCCTATAGAGTTCTTTCCAAGGACCTGAGACAAACTAAACTTATTTAATAATATTAGGTATTGTTGTAGGATGTAAGCTGTTCCCACTAAAGTTGCCTTTTGCAATTGACTGATGGTGATTTTGTCACTGCCAATGGCGTTCAAGTGGTACTCCAGTTGTTTTGGGATTACACCCAACGAGCCTATTACTATTGGTGCTATCTTTGTTTTGCTACTCCTATTTGCAAGTCTTTGTGGGTTTTTCCCCCCAGTTCTTTCTTTTCTATTCTGCTGTCTCCAGGTATTGCAATGACCATTATCTAGATTTTTAGTCTTTCTTATCGACAGTTGTTAAGTCTCAGATGTTGTGTGACAGATGATGCTTGTCTGTTTGAAAAGTCCCAGAGCATTTTAGCTTCATTTTCTATAACGTTATCTATTTGTGGACCCACCAGTTCTTGCTTTTCTTGCGGATAATTCCAGTGCACCCTTGTTCCAATTTATTTAACATTGATACAGCAAATTATTTATTTATTTATTCACTTTTAACATTTTGATCTCTTAGGGCAACGGTCCCCAACCTTTCTGTCTTGGCAGAAAGATCACTTTCTGCCCAGGGGGTTGGGATCCCCTGCATTAGGCTGAGTTCTTCCTATGTTTCTCTCTCTAACCATTAAGCAACCGTGGACTCCTGCCTCTCTTGACTGATTGTTTCCTAAGCAGCATCGCTTTAACTCCATTACAGCAGTATTCTGTGGTATTATTATTATGACTGATCACACAAAATCAGCAATATATTTAGACTGGATTTGATTGAAGTCCTCCCGAGGACCTGGGATAGGCAAATGTTATTATTTGATGGTATTAGAGTTGTTGTTATTATTAAACGGGTAATCTATCATTAGATTAAAATCTAAACACTGGTGAAAATTACTTATTCATTCATTCGTTTGTTTGTTTGTTAAATTAGGGTGTTCAGGTCTGTTAAATTCAAAATTTCTAAATATCAAGAAAGTCCTTTAGCTCCAATCATGATTTTTTCTCCCATAAGTGTTTGACTTCGGTTTGCAAGCCCTAGTATTTCACATTTTTTTCAGATTGCTTTTCATCAAACCTATCATTACCCACTATAGCAACATCAAGAAAACTTTCTTCTTTTCAATGACTGTTATATCAGGCATGTTATGAACAAGATGCCTATCTGTTTTGAAATCCCATAAGATCTTAACCCACACTTTTTCCAAAATCCCTCATCTTAATGGGCCCAGTGGTTTTTGCTACATTTAAATCCAAACCTCTGACAAAGGTTGTTCTTGAGCTAGAAAAATAAAGCCTTCAGTTCCTTTCTGTACTACTCCTGATTTTATCCAGCTCCATGTGTGGTTTTTATTGGCTTTTCCACATTTATATACACCCCAGGTATTTCTCCTGGTTGGGCATTTGAATTTAGTAATATTTGTTTTTTTAGACTTTTGGTATTTTTTTATTATTTCTTTCGTACATTAATTAATTATATCTCTTCATAAAGAAAATGAGCTCAACACCCAGAAATATTGTAGGCAGCTTAATTTTAGTAATATGCAAATAGATGACATGGAATAATAAACTTTTATTTAATGAGATGTATTTATTGACAGACAAATGGTGCAATGTTGTAAGAATATAACAAATATGAACTATTAGCTTTTATATATAAATACAAGTGATGCCTTTTGTCTTCCATACTTTTCATTTTTTATTTAAATAGCAGATCCAAACGTGTCCTCCAGAAAATCGGTATGTATGTATGTATGTATGTATGTATGTATGTATGTATGTATACATGTATGTATGTATGTATTATAGATACATATGGGGTAGGAAAAGTACCAGATATGTAGTGATGTGTTTTTAAAGATTGTACTGTAATGTTTAAAAGAAATAGTTTTAAAAATAGGTTCTGCACTGAACTTCTTAGAACCACCACAAGCATCCAACAGGACATCTGTAGTTCTGTTGGAGCAAAAATAAGTATGGTGGCATCTTAAAAGCTATGTTATTTATCATGGCATGAAAGTTCATTCCACAATAAATCTGTTGATCTTTAATTTTCCATAATACTGTTTATTCATTTTTTAATTAAGATATCACATTTCATGGCAGCCTTGCTTGCCATAAGCTTTGAAGTTAAATTCCAATACTTTGAGGATGCCAATAAAAACCCAAACATACTTTGAAATAATAAGTGGCCTATCACTGTTCAGACTTTTAGACATTTTAAAACAAGATCAAGCTGAGATTTTAAACTGTCAATAATAGAATTGTTAACAGCAATATATAATTGTTAATAGAAATATTGAAATTCCACTGAGTTTCTTTAGTAATTTCGGATGACATGTTAAATTCTTTATACAGCCACAGAGAACAGAGTTCCTTTTATAGCTTTTAGGTGAACCTCCTGTATAGCAGTGTTGGCTCCTGTATAGCAGTGAATTGTAATACTGGAGAACATAGTACAATTTGGGATAGATCTGTATTCACCCAAGACAAAGTAAATGGTTCTAATTTGTCCTGTTCCAATTTAGTTTCTTCTGTGAATTTTCATTGATTTGTAAATGGCAGTGCAACAACCTAACCCAAAAAGGATTAAAAAATAAACTTCACTTCTTTCCATAAAGCATTTTGGTGGTTAGAGTTAGGAAGAGAGTATATAAAGCAAGAAGTCCTCAAACCTCCATAATTGCTCATTCCAGAGAACTCAAGAGTACTTGGGGCGCATGAGAAATGAATATAGTTGTAATATCAAACTCCTATTGATCCAGAGGTTATTGAGATAAGTCTTGGCGACAGAAATATCCTTTTCCTTTCACTTAATTCAAACGGCCATCTTGTTCTGCTCTATTCAAAGCAATTGTCAAGGTTCTGACTGATGAACCCAACAAAGTAAACACAGACAATTAAATCTCTAATGCAAAGCTGTATTGAATGAACCATTTCGCCACTATTGCTAGGAAAACCAGCTTTGGAGGTTTCGCTCCTAAATTTCTGATTAAGGAATAGAAACCTCCCTCTCCTCTTCATGCAGGTCATGCTGCCCAATTGTACGTTAGGCAATTGTTATGAGAGAATCCACAATCATCAATAAATAATTCTCTCCTCGTGTCTTTGTTTGTCACAAAGTAACCGGCAACTGTTAACGGCTCACATAGCCCCTTCCCCCCAAGTGTATGGCAAGCTACGAAGCAGTTGTGTCTGGACCATCCTGGTCACTCTGTGAGGCTTGACAGTAATCCTGTAGTGGAGGCTTCTGAATTCTTGTATTCAAGGTTGTTTTCATGGGGGTTCTCTAATAAAATTCTGAAGAATGGATTGCTTGGAAGAGAAGTGATAAAAGGAGAGTTGGCTACACCGCTATGCATGGCCTGCAACCACTTGCATTTTACTTTCTTCTCCCCTCTGCCCTCCCCCCCGGTATTTTAGTACTTTTTTGGCAGTATTTTTGAAGTTGCTTGCTACTTCCTTCCCCATAGGCTCAGTGAGTGATTATTCCCAAGACACCGAGATGGCTCCATACCTAAACCCATTATCTTCCTTTTTCTGGCAAGTTTTTTATCACTACATCAAATTGGCTCCCTTCAACTTAATACTACGGGATTTTTTTAAGCAATGGAAAGAAAACCCTTCTAGTAAAATAGGAGATGGGTTTTTTCCCCTCCCAAAACATGCTAATGAATCAGGAATCATTCTAGATTACTATGGACGATCACGTGACAAAGTGGAATGTATTTGGGATCATTGGATCTAGCCCTCAAGAAAGTTCATTAGGTTTCTGCACGTTCCTGTTATACAATTCAAAGGCGTACATGCTCCAGTATAGAAGAATCTGGTTTATGCACTTGCAAACAGGGCTGTGCGGAACTACAAATTTGAAGGCAAGAAGGGGTTTAAAGCCCATGGGGATATTCTGCTCTTTGAACTAAAAGTGACTTTTTCCGGGACACATG